ACATTTCCTTCTGATAGTGAAGAAGGGTTGATGGCATGTGACAAAATAGGAACAGTAGGTTACAATCTTTGAGGAACCAAGCAGGCGCGGGTCAAGGGCACAGGTCTTACCTCGACTCTGCCGAATTGTTTTACATACTTCTGCTTCACTCCTATAGGTATGAGAAAGTCAAGTCTGTGTACAAAGAAACTGGTGGACGGAGGAGAGTAACAGAGGACAACATCCTAAACTATATGACTTCACATGCCCTCTAGGCTGTCTCCGATTTGTTGTATTTACTCATTGAAAATGTTGAAAATCTGGCACAGAGTGCACTAACTGACTTATAAGCACCTTCTCGTTTTCTTAAAAAGAAGCCTATCCGATACTGGATGAACACCCTTCACTCCTGATGCACCGTTCAGCGTATCTGTGAAGAAGTTCCGTTTGGCCAGTTGACCACAGCCGTGACATGGTTCTTCTGTGCATCATGGAGGTGTTTCTGGATAATTAAACCAGTCCTCCGCATTTGTCTATCAGGTTCTCCACGTTTGTCCTTCTATATGGAGTCACTACCGTAACATTGCGTTTTGACAACGGAGCGTGCTGTTGAACAACAACCACCAGAACACTGTTGTCTTGACCAACCACTTCAGAATGCAGAATTGCAATTGAAATATTACAATGCGGTCTCAAGATCCTGACTGAAACTTTGCATATCAATGTTTGTGGTGAAAAGTGGAGGTGTATTTAGCGGTTGGGTATTTTAGTGGATACTGACGTTAGCAGTTTCTGATGCAGAAAGATCGGTTCGTTGTTTAACTCCGCACTCAGCAATATTCAAGCTATATGGTGGCGGTCTGTAAATAATCAAGTCTGGACCAGGGCCCCGTTCCTCAAAGCGATCGTAGCGCTACGACAGTCGTAACTCCCATACTTTAACATAGACTTACGACTGTCGTAGCGCTACGATCTCTTTGAGGAACGGGGCCCAGACAATCCAGTGATCAACAACATGAGCATCGATCTGCGCAATTGGGATACGATGCCATGTGTCAACCAAGTCAGCGAGCCTGATCACCCGATCCCGTTAGTCGCATCTCACGACATCATTTCCGTTGGGGATTTTAATGTACACATTGATGAACCAGACAAACCGGAAGTTCGGAAAATAATCAAACTTTTGGACTCACAATCCTTGAAACAGCATGTTAAAGTTGCAACACATAGATCGGGACATGCCCTGGACTGGGTGGTTAGTACACTGGTTACACGACAAGATGATAACGGTATTGTAAAAAGTGTAACGGTAGTGGACAGACTTTTGTCTGACCAGTCAGTGGTAGTGCTTGTACTTAACTGTCAGAGTCAACCACACAATTCCAACACCAGATCATGTCGTAATCTGAAAAGGATTGACAAGGCAAAGTTCAGTGAGGAGATTGCTGCTTCGGATCTTCTCCTACAGCCTGTGTTTGATATTGAGGACTTGACAAACCAGTATAATGACACGCTTCTTCATATTCTAGACTATCATGCCCCTCTCAAAACTAGAACTTTCATTCAAAAGCCGGGATGTCCATGGTACAACAGCACTATACACCAGGCAAACACAGAAAGGCGCCGGGCGGAACGAGCGTGGCGTAAGTCAAAACTCGAGATTGACTCGTCTGTGAGGAGTAAGTGTCGTAAACTCATTCAAGAAAGCAAACGCGCATACTGCAGACAACAGATTGTTGATCTTGCTAACAAACAACGTCATCTTCAGAAATTCTTGAACTCTCTCATGGGTGGGAAAACTGAGGTAATCTTGCCGACATCAGCTACTGCTTCTGAACTAGCTGAACAATTCAATACTTTCTTTGATTCTAAAATCAAAGATATCCGGAATACTCTTCTCCAAGGCTCCCAACAGGTCATGCACCAGGAGGAAATGCCGTTTAAAGGAACTCTACTAGTTGACTTCCAACCCTTTACAGTATCTGAAGTTCGTGCTCTGATCAAGACAGCCAACGTTACTACATGTCAGAGTGATCCAGTCCCAGGTCAGCTTGTAGTGGAGCATCTCGACATATTACTACCGACCATCACAGATATCATCAATAAAAGCTTGTCGTCAAGAACATTTCCAAAATTGTTGAAAGATGCTATTGTTAAGCCTTTCATCAAGAACGAGAAACTGGATTCAAATGTCATGAAAAGCTACAGGCCAGTTTCTAACCTCTCCTTACCTGTCCAAGTTGATTGAGAGAGCCGCCATAAAACGGCTGATGAGACATCTGTCAATCAACAACATATTGGACTCTTTTCAATCTGCATACCGACAGCATCATTCCACTGAAACCTTACTGCTGAGACTGGTCAATGATCTTAGATGTATCGTGGATAGTGGAAATATGGCTACACTGGTACTTTTGGACTTAAGTGCAGCATTCGATACAGTCGATCATAAGAAGCTGCTACATACTCTGGAACCTCACGTTGGAATAGGTGGTACTGCTCTGTCATGGTTTTCCTCTTACCTGACAGACAGAAGCCAGACAGTGTTAGTTGCTGATAATCTCTCCAAGAAGTCCATTATATCGTGTGGTGTCCCTCAAGGCTCCGTTATGGGACCTGTCCTCTTCCTCCTGTATATGAATCAACTTTCTGTCATCATGAAATCCTTCCATACCTCCCACTACTCTGATGCTGACGATACCCAGCTTGTGAATACCTTTACACCAGATACAGCAGCAGCTACTTTCAAGAACATTGAAAACTTCACAGCCCGGATAAAAACATGGATGACAAGTAGAGTTTTAAAACTGAATGATGATAAAACTGAAGTACAATGTATTACCTATTGGCAGATCACAACAATTGAAGATTATCACAAGTGATAGTATAACAATAGGTTCCTCACAGGTTGCCTTTTCTCCTCTGGTGAAGGATCTTGGCGTATGGCTAGAGTCGGATCTCGCCATGGATGTACATATCGACAGACTTTGTAAAACCTGCTATTTCCATTTGCCCAGGATTTGGAACATCCGGAAGTACATCACAGAAGAAAGCGCGAAGATTCTAGTCAGATGTCTAATTTCCTCCAGATTAGATTATTGCAACGAGCTGCTTGTAGGTCTTAACAGGGCTCAGCATAAAAGACTGCAGAAAATACAGAATACGGCCGCCCGCATTATTTCGTTACAGTCAAAATCATGTCGCATTACTCCAGTCCTCAAATCACTTCAATGGCTCCCAATTGAATCACATATCAACTTTAAAGTTCTCTGCACCGTCTACAAATGTCTACACAACCAAGCCCCATCCTACCTCACTGACCTGATCACTGTATAGTATGTATACACACCAGCCAGAACTCTTCGATCTCAGAACCAGCTCCCACTTACTGTACCAACTTTTCGACTTTCCTCATTTGGTAAACGATCGTTCTTTCATGCAGCCCCAAGACTATGGAATTCATTGCCAGTCCACATCAAAGACTCTGATTCTCTGACAGCTTTCAAATCACGACTTAAGACTTACCTTTTCTCCTTTGTATATACCTGACTCTCTCTCTCTCTTTCCCCTGCGCTTTGAGCATGCACTTGTGTGTGGATTGTAGCGCATAACAAATGTCCATTATTATTATTATTTATAATGGGTTACTGAAGAACAATTCTAGCTCGGATCTTCACGGGTTGTTGTAGAAAGAACGGTCACGACAGTGTATGTTGGAGGGTGAAACTAAAACACTTATGAATGTGTAACGAAACACGATAAGAAAACAATATATTTGTTGCTGATATTTCATTGAAGCGCTCGTCGTCAACTATCATGAAAAGCCAATCAAAATGAACCACATTACCTCCCTTTAGTACCGACTTTCAGTCACAGAAATCAGACAATGACTAATTGCACTTCTAACAGATCACACACTCACTAACACACCGCCCGTACTATTGTCCTCTCTGTCGAACTAAAAACCGAATGCCGCAGATAAATTAATAAATTCACTGTAAAGTATATTTCATTAGTGATATATATACACTTTTTATTGATTTCACTTTGCATCAGTTGTTGAATGTTTGAAACCGAATTGTTACCTTCGATAGATAGTTTGTCATTCGATAGATAGTTTGTCATTCGATAGATAGTTTGTCATTCGATATATAGCCAGTGATTGCTGACTGTTAGTGAGGACGCCCGGAGACAAGTGTTGACACAGTACCTTGATGTGACGATCGATAATAACGATACTAATACTGTATGGCTGTTATAATACTGATTTTTTAGGGTCGCGTGTCTTAGGGTGTTTCATTTTACAATTTAATGACAATTTGTGTCGATTTTCTTCTTTTTTCTCGGCTGTGTTTGACTGTTATTTCGATATTTTAACCAAATGGAAAGTAGAAAAACTACATCAAATTGTTTAGATCTGTCAAGTCTGATTGTACCAAATCAACTTGTTTATTGAAATAATTAACAAAAGAATAATGGTGGACAATGCAGCTGATCATGAGTACAAAACAATACTTGTGTCATATACGAATATAAATAAGAACACGGAGGTAACAGGCATAAGTAATTATTCATAGTAACGAGTGCTGGACTATTTACTTTAGGATGTGTAATACAGTATGCATGAACCTATCTGTTACGTCCACTGTTTTCATTAGGTTTTCAACCTAGGGCGTCTGGTTACCGATTACAGCATCCGTGAGTATTGGCTTACACTGAAATATCATATGCAACCTTCGTGTGTCTTCGCCCTGTGCTTTTTCTGAAATGGACGTTATGAAAAAGGACAGATGAAAACCTGTTATTTCATTGCATTAAATATAAATTACATTCAATAAGAGCCGCCGCCATATACCTGGAATATTGCTGAGTGTGGCGTAAAAATAAACCCACTCATCACTGTTACGACAAAGGTAGACCCGAGGTCATGTTTAACAAAATCGTATTTCCTTCATGGGCAGCCAACGCATAGAGTATTCAGAGTTGTCTCCCGTTAATACATCTTTGTTGGTGGAGATTCATAAATCCAACTCGTTTTCCAGAAACGATATTGCAAGCTTTTATCATAAAACAAATGAAAAAGTTACATTTTGTTGAAGTTTGATCCACGAAATGGGCAATACTGCCAGTAGTGACAGCGAAGATGAAGTACGTGTTGACAACAAAGAGGTTTGACAATTTACACGCTTATTTGTATACAGTAGTCTACATACAGTAAGGTAACTGCGAGTTGCTTGTTCTGACGAGGAAGTTCCGAAAAGTTACATTACAAAATATAGATCTGCAGTGTCTGACTGGAATAACATTTAAATATGTTTATTTGTAAGCCAAAGGTTAATTAGATAAAATATTATGCCAGTTGATATAAGGACTCATTTTACATTTTTCACACCAACAATTTGACCATCAGAAATGTGAATATCATCATGATTACAGTGACAGTGCAACCAAGGACATATATGTCCATGGCTTGGTATTACATAAACGATGCATTTGATTGGCAGGGACATACTATGGTTTACTGTTTCTTGACAATTCTACATATGTATAGGCTTAAGATCCTGTGATTTTGGAAATGCTTCTCATAGTCTGAAGCCTGTTTCAAATGAAATTTGGGAGACAGTGCACTTTATTGGGCACACTTTTTGGATTGCATTTAGTGTTGTGTGGATGATCGAAGTCACTTTGTCAGCTCAAAGCTAAGCATGGTAAAATGACTTAACCTAAATAGCAAGCACCCTATCATGTTACCATGAAACTGCTTTCTTGTCAGAATTTTTGTTTGGTGTAGTCCTCTCATTATAACAACAGTTCATAGTGGAGTAGGGGAAAATGTCCACAGCACAAAATAAAACATCTACTTCAACAACCTGATCACTAACAATTTGATTTGACTGGTTGTTGCTGTGACTGGTTTGCGATTTATGCTACGACAACTGTAAACACATTTGAGAGTATAAGGGGACATCATCCACATTGATCAACAAAGATGACACCCATTTTATGCTTGGCATTTAAAGGGAAATGTTGGCATCTTTGTGTGGTGCATTGGTAAGATGCTTGACAAAGGATATTGATAAGTCACTTGCTTGGTTGTTTGTGATTACACTATTTAGACATGTGAAAAAACCCATATGATTTCACCTGAACATAGCTTATCAATATTAATTCATATGTGTCTGTTGACTTTCATAATTAATAAAATCCCATAATATTCAGTAATTTTCCGCATTGGTTGTAAATCATATTTTATACATACATTCCAACAATGAAAAGGCTTGGAAAACATCAATTTAGTCTAGTTTGTCTCAAGATCAAAGAACTACCTAATGATGGTGTAAATGAAGGAGAATGTTTCTGTTCAGTGGTTCAACAAATCAATGAAAACAAAGTGTAAGTATTGTAAATTACAACTGACAAAAATGTATGTATAATATCCGGCATGCTCCAGTCAAAAGTCCTAAATTTGCCTAGGTACAAAAAAAAATTAAAAATTTAATCTGTCATTATATGGGATTTATTCATGTTTATTTTTTAAATGTGTGATGTCAAATAAATAACTAAATCAGTAAAAAGGACTTTTTTACTGCTACATTTTTACCAAGGACTTTTTTCCTATAATCTAATATCCACCAGTTACTTTGTTCATGGAATATATCTGTCAATATCCACAGAAAAGAACAACACCCTATTCATCTTAAGCTGTACAAAGAAACATGTTCTATGTCACATGTCTTTGTGACAATCGAATATTGTAAAATAACTTGTCATCATTTCTTAACTCTGTGTGTGTGTGTGTGTATGTGTCTGTCTGTCTGTCTGTCTGTCTGTCTGTCTGTGTCTAGTGTCGCTGGTCAACTGAGATAGCACAAATTACTACTATTTTGTGGATGAAGGAAAACCAAGTTCTATGGATAGTCTGCTTCACCTATACAACTTCTAAAATGCCTCTCAAAGGACGATATTTTCATGATGTCCACCGTTTAACAATGAGCAGTTTAACAACGATCTAAACCTTTTAGCAGAATACTGTATATTAGGGTCATAACAGACACACTACATGCACAAAGTGACCACTAATTTTGTTTCATTACAGTAGTTCTGTAAAAGCATTTTGACTTTTGACTAAAAAATATACAGCAAGTGTCCAGGATCTTCCCAGGGCCCCCGCCTCCCGACTCCCCCAAAACCCCCAAAGAACCCAACAACAAAACAAAGCAAACAGATTAGCTGTCTGTTCATTATAAGTGTGTTTGTGATAAACATGAATAACTCTAAGCCAAATTATGAACGTGTTTCCAATTACTTTAGTAAACCTACATACAGAACACATACTTTTGTCAAATCTACTGTGCAAGATAATAATGATTAATCAATCTGCATATTGATAATTCATCCTTTGATTATAGTTATTTGTAACCCAACTGATGATTCCTATCTTGTAGTGCTTCAGTGTGCGCATTATGTAACATGTAATACATTCACCACATCAGACCTGCATTTATGGAGTTGAGTAATCACAACAGACACGGGAAATGCCTAATGGGAACCTTTGGCAGGTAATCTGAGTGGTGTTACCAGTGATTATGCCTGTAATACATTCATTATAACTGTGTGTCAAGTGAATAACAAGTAAACAGGTGTTGGTTTATATCACCAAACATGGAGGACAACCAGGGTATCGTTGTATTGTATGCAATTTAGTTTCCTGAAAAACGTATTGGTCGTTGCATTTTGAGAATAGGAACAGGATTTCATTGCTGCAAAAGTAATATGCCCACATATTTGCTGTATACTGACTATTGAACACGCTCATTCATACAACTGATAATGTTTTGATTTGTATGTTATAGGGTTGTAACGATGCATCTAACTATCGATGGATTGCGGTTGTTGAGTCTCCGATAGCAAATAAGCGATTTTAGAAACAAAAAGCTATCGATAGTATGTGTGACTATCGATAGTTTAGTAATTGACTTCCGTGGATAAATGCTCAGCGCAAAATACAGGATGTACGGTACCAGATTCGTTTACTTTGATTTATAGTTTTCCACCCCTGTTACCTCTTAAAGAAACTTGATCTGGGTTTCAAGTGTCTTGTCAGTTATTTAAAGAGATTTAAACTACTTCAGCTTATTTTTATTTCATATGAACTACACATGTATTTAGGAAATGACTTCACATGAGACAATTCAAGGAGAGGAAGAAAACTATTGCAATAGTATTGCAATAGTTTGTCGCAATAGTATGTTGCAATAGACTATTGCTATCACAATAGTTGTTTCCCCCTCAATAGTCACCCCTAGTATATTATAGATACTTACCTTGACAATGAGTAACTTATGATATATTGTGATATTTTAATCTAAATAAGTTGTAAATCCAGAAATTTCATGTTTTCCACAAAGAGAAATATGGCACTGAAATAAGTTTCAGTTTGATGAGAGTGCAGTAGCTTTCTAAGTTTCTTACAGTTGATTCCTTTTTTCTTGACATGCAAAAGAGAAATGCCCCAGACAATCAAGCCACAAAAGTAATTTGTGACGGCACATGGTAATCCTTTATTACAGTTTGAACACAAAGACTTTTATTTTGATGATGATTAGGCATTCAAATTTCTTTAAAATACTTAGAATTTACTTATACGAACGTGTTTGACCAGGCTCAGTGTTTCCGACTCTCGTGTTTATCTATTTATAGGTCGATGATGGCTATTCTGACAGTGAAGCAGAAACTGGTGAGTATAGTTTCTTTCATGTTCTTAACATCCAGTAATATTAACAATTATTAACCTTCCTCTGCTGGTACATAAAGGGAATTGTCTTGTGTTCAGACTGGGCGCTAACTTTCAGATAGTTGTTCCTGACATCATACAGTGTATTATGTCTCCTTTCTGTTCAGGTAAATACTAGGGCTGTTGTGATTCATTAGTGTAGTCGATGAATCAAACTACGTCCCCATCCCAATTCAATTCTTATTTGCCATCTCTAGAATCAAATATTCATTAAAGTTTCAAGAAAGAATGGTTTTACTTGAATTTTACCATAGAGAAATACGCAAAATGGACTATATCCAAGTTGGGCAGGATAACATTATTCTTATATATTTATTTTGACAGCAATGTGGTCACTGGTCATTGCCCTATTAATTAACACTGTCAGCTTGGTCAAAACATGTAAAAAAATTATTTTGTTGTGTCTTTTAATACATTAAATAATGCATCAGCTGCTGACTGTTTTTTCCGTTTGTTACCCAATATTCCTGATATATGCCATGTTCTCCTCATGGTGGATTCACTGCAGCCCTAGTAAATACCTCTGGGCCTAGGCATAGCTTATGATTATCATGCATATCAAATATGTCTCCTTTATCATGTTTACAGCCCCAGAGAATGTATTTTAGATGTTGATTAGTCATGTCAAAGGTCAAGGCCAAAATCAGAACATATTACCACATACAGGCATCGATATCCAGTCTTTTTAAGGGTGCAATTGGGCACCAGACGTTATAATTTAGGTGTGTGAAAAGAAAGTGTGGCCATACCTTTCATGAACCACTTAAACTTTAAAACATCACACAAAAATTATGTCATTTCAATGTAATGTGTAATAAATCAGTAAACATCATGTAAACCTATAAAATTTAAGAGCAATATTTACTGAACACTATGATGACTGCAATAAAAGTTCTGCTTCATTTGTCCTGGACCAATAAAGTCACCCACAAACTATGTTATCATCCCAAATGGTATTTCCTGTTGTGGGCACTGGCATTCGAACATTCCATGATTATTATAAACTGAGAGATTGAGAGTGCCTCCAATAAACAGTTTGATGGGGTGCAAAAGGTTTTGAATCATCTAAGCTCGTCAAATATATCACAATTTCCATTAAATGAATTATAGTGAGTATTATTTTTTATAATTCTAGTTGTTTAGTTGCTAGGGCACATAGGATTTTTTCAATATGTACTGTGCACTATTTCAATCACTTCAATTGATATATCACAAGATTAGGTCAATAAAACTACACACATGTCATCTATGTTCTTGGTGGGTTAACATTATGAGAAGCCATTTAGTAAAGTCAAGGTCACTGTGAAGGTATATTACACTATTATTTCACTTGCTTCACTTAATGTGTTTTCGTGCAGATGTTCTTGGTGCTTAACAACATAACAACCATCATATCAATCTCCAAACAGTTCAACTGTTCTACTGTAGATTATGTTGTATTTATTGAATCCCACCCAGGGACATCATGTTTGGTCAATATTCTTGACCATGTTGATAGCCTTTGGCCGTGTTTATTTTGGTTAAATTCACCCTGAACATGCTCATATGAGTATTATGTTCATGATAACTGAAGAGGATTTCACTGTAGTAGGATCACATTTGGTACACATCATCATGATAATCTTTCTATCGAGACTTAATCATGTTTCAAGTGGTAAGATTTTAATTGTCCTTCATCGAAGGTTAAGGTTCTTGCTTGTTCATTTGACCTTTAAGTCACCCTCAACAGCATTGAAGCTATGTGACATCAGTCTGTAAATGATGAAGTCTGGAACAGACAATCCAGTGATTAACATCATGAACACTAATCTATGCTATTGGTATATGTTGACATATGATTAACCGAGTCAGTGAGCCTCACCACTCGATCCTGTTATGTGCCTTTTTCAACAAGCATGATTTGCTGAAGTCCTGATCTTAATGGGTACTAGCTGCGATAGTAATTTTAGCTAAGTCTTTTCTACCTTTTAACATGGTGAACTTTATACATAGTAAAAATATGACCAATACCCCATAACATTCAAGTTTAATTTTGAAGACTGCATTGTCTTGTTACTTGTAATAAGAACATAGCACAGTGTATATATGCTTTCTATGTAGTATGTTATGGTGATGATATGTATACAAATTACTACACAAATTGTATTCAGTAAATTCTTAATATAGCACCTACTATGAACTTGGACATGGTGAATGTTATACCTGTGTTTACTGGTGATGAAACATATTAACATACCATGTCCCATACACACTTACTGAACTTTACAGACAACATCATGTCAAATATGTACGATGTTATGTTTATTACAATTAGTCGCTTTCATGAATCCATTATTGTTGGCCATGTATGACTGAACATTCACCTGTTACATATTTTATGCAATTTATCAATTTTAGGCCAGACCAATTTTATTGCTTGTCAATTTTATTGCTTGTCATGTTTTTTCAAGAATAAGAAAAAAGAAGTTAATTTTCCCCACTCAAAAAATAAAATCCTAATGTTTTTCTTGGCCAAAAATGTAAACATACAAGAAATTTTGTTTGTAGATTGTTTTTTGCCCCATATAATTTTCATAAATTGCCAAAAGTAACATACTTTGAGTATTTAGAAGGAATATTACTTTGACTGGTGATTTTATTTTTATTTTTTTCCCTCCTGCCTTTAGGTTTTCTTGAGGACAATATTCCGTAAAAACAAGAAATAAAATTGGTCTCACTTACCAGTCAATTAATTCTTTCTTGATTTATAATCTTTATCAGAAAACTGTGTTATTACTAGTAAGTACAGTCATAATAACAATATGCCCAATGTTAGCTTATGCCAAATTCTTCTTATCCCCTATCTTCAAGTTTTCTATAATAAGAATTCTTTTTCAGAAGAAGTCCTCCTTGGGGTACATATATGCATTAAAATGTCCATTTCAAATCCCATGACAGTTATAACTATATTTTTCAATAAAATATTTACAAAACAAAAAACTTGTGAGACCACCCCTACAGGGCCCACCCGAACCCCCCTACAGCCAAGAGCAGGTAACTCTTGCCGTCTACCTCGTACCTCACATTTCATGCTGTCATTCTGTTGAACTGACGTGCGTGGTGTTCGTTTCGAGTTTGCTCTCCTACCGATACGATGAGTGTAAAAGAGTCTCAATCTGTATGTATGGTTCCTTTCTTTACCCACGGGCGTTAGATGGACTTCATATGTTGATATTCTCATTCATCCTTTGTTGTAACTTTGCCGTGGGTTTTCTGTGTTTTTAGCCTGGGTAATTTTTGATGAAAGGTTTCTAAGGAAATCCCTTTATCGTACCCCTCGCCTTCTCCCCCACAAACAATGTTGCTACATTAACGATGGATTTCTTACTTATGGCAGCAGCGGAGATCGTCGGTGCATGCTCTTATCTCAGACGTGGTTTCCAGACTCCAAGAGGAGATTGGTACCCGGTCTACGGGTAGAGATTACACCGTCGCATCATTGGGGGAGGTCCCGACCCGAGCTCCAGCTCCGGAAAGGGTCCGACCTCCTTGGGACGATCGGACCTGAGCTTCGGCTCCGGGGACGCTCTGAACCTGGGGACTACCATCGACCCGGCTTTGGCCCGTTGGAGTGACTATAACGAACGAAAGGGATCCGTACGGGTACCCATGTGTTTGGTTTGGTGGCGGGAAGACTGGGGAGTCTGCTAGCAAACGGACATTATCTCGTTGGCTTGTTTCCATAATTGTTCGGTTACAATGCTAAGGTTTACCTTCCCCCCATTACCGACTTGACACGAATTCTAAGGATCGTGCTCGGTTCGGTCTTTCGGTACTCTCCAGTGGAGAGTGTCCTGCCACCCTGACCAAGTTAGTAACTGGTCATTGGTATTGGTTCTGTGTTCAATGTCGATATGGTTCATATCAATACATCGTATAAGCCTTACCACCCTTTCGGGTTGGGTCGGGTTTGGGTGTACATACATTCCTTACGTCCTCTTCACTTAAAGGCAAGAGAGGGCGGGGCCGATTTTGAACGCTGTAACCAGTAATATGCTATTAACCCGTCTTGCGGCGAATTAAGGTCTGAACCCCTATGGGTCACTGTTTGGTATGCCTCTCCGAGCCGCATGTCACGTGACCAGGTTAGTGTAATGTTCAGCTACGCTTTTTGCTGTTCAGGGGATTTTTGTACGCCAACAGTTTTTTCCATCTTCCTGAGACTTCGGTAATTGGGAGTCTGTGTTAATCAGCACTTTTGATGATTGTGGTTTACACTTACCGAGAGCGTTTGGTGGGGGTGTTTTATCCTGCTTTTCACTCGTACAATACATGGCATTTGTACTCATTCGTTTTTCTCAGAAAGTTTTTAGTGAAGCTAATAATTTCTCTGGGTTTTATCGAGGTCCCGGCAAGCCCTCTTCCAAACAGGAGGGGTGCATTCGAGCATTAGTTTGCAGTACTTATTAGCTCGACTCCTGGGTTATTGGCCTTTGAGCGTTTTTTACGCTTTCCCTACCCTTATACCTCTCGCCACGCTTCTCTGGTTCGGGCTATTAAGGTTGGGAGTTGTTTCGGCATGTCCTCATACATTCCTTTCTATTGTAATGGTTGGGGGTGGGGTTTTATGTCATTGATTTGAGCCAATTGACGTATAAGCTTGGGTTCTCTATTTCCCGCCCTGGCCACGTCCCCGCCTGATCAGCTGGCTCGGTAACTGTGTTTTTTCTATTTCCGTATCAGTTGTAGATTTCACTCCACCGGGTTTAGTTGTTGCCAGACAGAATGCCACTCCCGTCTCCAATATCTTTGGGAGTCTGTCATATGCTTATATGTACCCCAAGGAGGACTTCTTCTGAAAAAGAATTATACAAACCTGTAGAGGTTATGAATTCTTTGAAGAAAGTCCTACTTGGGGTACGGCCACCCACCTCCCTCATTCTGTCTGATATGTTCAGCATGAAAAGTGAGGTACGAGGTAGATGGCGAGGACTTTTACCTGCTCTTGGCTGTAGGGGGTCCAGTGGGGCCCTGTAGGGGTGGTCTCACAAGACAAATCGAGGTTTTTGTTTTGTAAATATTTTATTGAAAAACTGTCGTGGGATTTAAAATAGACATTTTAATGCTTATATGTACACCAAGGAGGACTTTCTTCAAAGAATTCATAACCTCTACAGGTTTGTATAACTTTTTATGTGAGTGTGAGTGAGTGAGTTTAGTTTTACGCCGCACTCAGCAATATTCCAGCTATATGGCAGTGGTCTGTAAATAATCAAGTCTGGACCAGACAATCCAGTGATCAACAACATGAGCATCGATTTACGCAATCGGGAACCGATGACATGTGTCAGCCAAGTCAGCAAGCCTGACCACCCGATCCCTTATATTCGCCTCTTACGACAAGCATGGGTTACTGAAGATCAATATTCAAATCCGGACCTTCACTGGTCAACTTTTTATGTAAGCTCACACACTACTCATCATCTTCATATACAATATTTGTGTTGACAGTCAAAGATTGTAACACAACCTAATTTGAAGACGACCAGTTATTAACTGATGTGGCTGATTTCAACATTGTGTTTCCATGTAGGCAGTGTGTGGCATGATGGCAGCAGCAGATGATATATGATGTTGAATGATGTTTATCTACAGACATGATCAATATGTTAGTTGGGCAGTCTGTGCAGTGGAACAGCTGGATGTCCTGTTGCCATGGTTATTGGAGTTAGACATGATTAAGGGATGGTGACTCAAGCGTGTTAGAGTGAGCAAGTGTTAACATTACAGATAACAGACCTATCATTGTATCAACATGATCAACTGAGAGTCTTTGATTGGCATTTAGAACTTGAAAGAAAGCCGGCTAGAAATATTTGTGGAAAAATCTTTCCGATGTTTGTAGTTGTAATGACCTTTCCAGGCTGCCTCTTTGTCCCTTCATCGAGATTGAACACTGAGTACTTGTGTTGAGTTCTTATATATATAGGAAAAGGTATAAAGAAACTCGAGAAACATAAAGGCGCAACATGAATGGGGCAGCCAGGTGCATCTTGAAGGATTGGATTGTCGGGTGACTTGGCAGTCAAAGTAAACTTAGGCTCAGTATTATTAGTTACACTGCTATACTGGAGTCTAACAAAACCTTATGGAAGGTAGCGTCAGCTAACCTTTTCAATTGACCAATCAGAACACAGCTTACCAAATCAGCGAGAAAGCTGACGGATTTCCACATACCTTTTGAACTTTTACCTCGCAGAAAGGTTTTGTACCCGAGCGATTCGAGATGCTATTTTCCGTGACGATCGCTTCCGAGTATGCGTAAAAAGCGACGCTACAACAGTGACTAAACAGTCACAGAAAATAGCGTTTTGTCAGTATTCAAGGATGTCAGCTTGCGAAAATTATTAATAATGATAGCCATGTCAGCGAAACCCAAAAGTGTATATTCTGGGTCATATATCTGTGTGTTTTATCGCGGGTTTTCATTTGTTGTGAGATCAGTGTTGGTGACCGGGGAAGAAAATCCATTTTGTTAGTCCCTAAATAGTAGCTGTTGTCTAATTAGATTAAATCCGTTCGGTTGTCTTCGCGTTTGATTGAATGGTCATGGAATTAGGCTCAAAGGTTAAGCTGTGACCTTCCACAAGGTTTTGTTAGACTCAGTATAGCAGTGTAACGAATAATACTGAGCCTAAGTTTATTAGACTGGGTGACTTGTGTGAGGGGTGTCATCATACCCGGCGACGGGAACATGGCTTGTAATATCAAATGCTGGACTTCTTGTTTCAGGCTTGAGGTTACATGATTACGTCATAAAGCAGGAATATTGCTGAGAACAGTATTAAACACAAACACCATGGTTTCTAGGCTATAATCAGAACAACTAGCCTATCCTTGTCAAATAAAATATGTACCTTTATGAACTTGATGTTTGTCCTTGTGCCTGTGATCAAAGTGACTCAGTGAGATACGTTTCATGATTTGATGTGCTGATAAAAGCCACATGCCGTCTGTTTATTAAGTTGGAAACATTCAACATTTTGAAGAAGGAAGTTATTTGAGCATATTGTACGCTGTGAAAACATGTGAATAAATTACTTCTTGTCAACAACATGTATTTGTTTGTTTTAGAAGGAGACAAAGATGGTCCCTCACTCACAGACCTCCACGCTCTCTTCAATGAACCAGGGCTACTACGATCAGTTGCATCAAAAATAAAGTAAGCTGAGAATATGCTGGCTACCTATTGGGAAGGAACTGCTTATTATATTATTTGTGTTAGTGTGTTGTATAGATGCGTGCATGCATGTGTGTGTGTGTGCATGCATGTGTGTGTGATAGCGTGTATAATGTCTATTTGTCTTACATTGAATGTGTTGACATACTTAATGCCCTGATTAAGAGTAATTATGTTGAATATGTTGATGATGTAGAGTTTCAAGATGTGCATCTGATGTTTCTAGAAAAATATTGTTTACCTCAGAAAAAAATGAATTAATCTTGAACGCGAGGAATCATACCTTTGTCACTTCACCTTTGGCGATGTATGATGATGGGTTGTGTGTTTTGCTTGTGTACTGTGATGTCATACTACCTGTTATGAGGACTCAATCCCTGATAATGTGATCCTCCAGTAACACAGTGGGTTGTGTTTGTTGTTTGTGTACTGTGATGTCATACTGCCTGTTACAGGGACCCAATCCCTGACAATGTGATCCACCAGTACCACAGTGGGTTGTGTTTGTTTTTGCTTGTGTACTGTGATGTCATACTACCTGTTATGAGGACTCGATCCCTGACAATGTGATCCTCCAGTACCACAATGGGTTGTGTTTGTTGTTTGTGTACTGTGATGTCATACTACCTGTTACAGGGACCCAATCCCTGACAATGTGATCCTCAGGTACCCCAGTGGGTTGTGTTTGTTTTTGCTTGTGTACTGTGATGTCATACTACCTGTTACAGGGCCCCGATCCCTGAGTATGTAGTATGTGATCTTCTAGGTTGTGTGTGTTTTTGCTTGCGTACTGTGATGTCATACTGCTTGTTACTGGGACCCGATCCCTGACAATGTGATCCTCCAGGATGTGTGTGCTTTGCTTGTGTACTTTGACGTCATACTGCCTGTTACAGGGACCCAATCCCTGACAATGTGATCCACCAGTACCACAGTGGGTTGTGTTTGTTGTTTGTGTACTGTGATGTCATACTGCCTGTTACAGGGACCCGATCCCTGACAATGATCCACCAGTACCATGGCCACACATCATCCAGCGTGGCTCGAGAGAGGCAGGACAGAATGGAGGTGGGTCATGGACTGAGCTAACGTGGTTAGCTTGAATGTCAGTAGTACCGGTAGTTGGTATTGGCCATCTCCAAGTTGGCAGAAGCACCCTGTAATCCTGTTTTGATATAACCTAATTTGAGAAATCCTTTTGATAGATTGAGAACACATTTCCACAATAAGTGGACCATGTTCCCTGCTAATTACGTCAGAACACAGGAGAAATACTTTTGTGTTGGTATTTTTTTTTTAAGATGATTAGTTTTGATACCAGTTATTGTGTTGTTTGCAGGAGAATGTCACACTGAGCCAGTTTTGTGACATGCTGATGGCAAAAAGGAGTGTCCAGAAATGAGGTTGTGAAGGTAAGCTATGAGTCCGTGGTTCAACACTTTTGTAAACCATTTGGTGTGATTTCTGTGTAACTCTTTGCATGAGGTTTGACTGAAAATAGGCATTGGAGTTTCAATTGAACACAAAGTACATTATCTCTCTTAACCCTGCAACTGTTGCACTGATGAAGGGTTCCTCCCAACCACTAGTTGTTGTACTGAAGAAGTGTTCCTCCTAACCTCCCAACCCTTCTGTTGTACCCAGTGAAGTGTTCTCCCTAACCTCCTAACCCCTACTGTTGTACCAATGAAGTGTTCCTCCCTCCCAACCCCACTTGCCCTGATCAAGTGTTTCCTCCCTGACCTCCCAACCCCTTCTGTTTTACTGATCCAAGTGTTCTCCCTGACCTCCCAACCCACTGTTGTAATTGCTGATCAGGAGTGTTCTCCTGACCTCCCAACCCTGCAACGTGTTGTACCAATGAAGGTGTCTCCCTGACTTTAGCCCATGTTGTACTGATCAAGTGTTCCTCACAACCCTGCTGTTGGCCTGCCAATGAAGTGTTCACCCTGACCTCCCAACCCATGTTGTTGCTGATCAGTGTTCCTCCCAACCCCTGCAACTGTTGTGCAATGAAGTGATCCTCAGGCCTCCCCAGCCCATAGCAACTGTTGTACCCGTGAAGTGTTTCTCCGGACCTCCCAGCCTGCTGTGCTGATCAAGTGTTCCTCCCAACCCCGCTGTTGTACTGATCAAGAGTGTTTCTCCCTGACCTCCCAACCCTGCAAACTGTTGTACCAATGAAGTGTTCCTCCCCATTTGGTCAAGTGTTCCTCCCAACCTCCAGCTTGTTGTACTGGTCAAGTGTTCCTCCCTAATCCCAACCCTTCTATTGTACTGATCAAGTGTTCCTCCCTGACCTCCCAACCCGGCATTTGTACTGATCAAGTGTTCCTCCCCTTGCCTCCAACCCGCTGTTGGCCTGATGAAGTGTTCCTCTAACCTCCAAGCCACAACTGTTGTACCAATGAAGTGTTCAGTGTTCCCTCCGCTGTTACCTCCCAACCCCGCTGTTGTAATGATGAAGTGTTCCTCCTGACAGGCCTCCAAAGCAGCTGCTTGTACCAATGAAGTGTTCCTCCTGACCTCCAAACGGTTCCCAGCTGTTATACCAATCAAGTGTTCCTCCCTGACCTCCAACCGCTGTTGTAATGTGAGAAGTCCTCCCTGACCTCCAAGCCCGTGCAACTGTTGTACCAATGAAAGTTCTCCCTGACCTCTAAACCCGCTGTTATTGCTGATCAGTGTTTCTCCCTGACCTCCAAACCCTGCAACATTGGAACCAATCAAGTGTTCCTCCTGACCTCCCAACCCGGCTGTTATACAAATCAAGTGTTCACTCCTGACCTCCCAACCCCAACTGTTGTAATGATGGAGTAGTGTTCCTCCCCTGACCTCCCGACCCGCTGTTTGTACCAATGAAGTGTTCATCGGACCTCCCACGACCCTGCTGTTTTGTACCAATGAAGTGTTCCTCCCTGACCTCCCAACCCTGCTGTTGTACTAATGAAGTGTTCCTCCTGACCTCCTCAGACCGCCTGTTTTACCAATGAAGTGTTCCTCCTGACCTCCCAACCCGTTGCTGTACTAATAGAAGTGTTCTCCCTGACCTCCCAAACCCCGCCGTTTACACCAATGAAGTGTTCCTCCTGACCTCCCAACCCTGCTGTTTTACCCAATGAAGTGTTCCTCCTGACCTCCCAAGCTGCTGTTTTTACTGGAGAGTGTTCCTCCCTGACCTCCCGACCCTGCTGTTTTACCAATGAAGTGTTCCTCCCTAACCTCCCTGACCCTGCTGTTTTGTTTCCAATGTTGTAGGTGTTCCTCCCTGACCTCCCAACCCGGCTGTTATACCAATGAAGTGTTCCTCCTGACCTCCCACCCCGCTGTTATACCAATGAAGTGTTCCTCCCTGACCTCCCAACCCCGCTGTTGTACTGATGAAGTGTTCCTCCCTGACCTCCCAACCCTGCAACTGTTGTAAACTGCCTTGGCATGAGGTGACGTGTTCCCCTCCTGACCTCCCAACCCAGCTGTTGTACCAGACTGAAGTGTTCCTCCTGACCTCCCAACCCTGCTGTTGTACTAATGAAGTGTTCCTCCCTGACCTTCCAACCCTGCAACTGTTATACCAATGAAGTGTTCCTCCCTGACCTTCCTCAACCCTGCTGTTTTGAAGTGTTCCTCCCTGACCTCCCAACCCTGCTGTTGTACAAGTATTCCTCCCTGACCTCCCAACCCTGTTTACCAATGAGGTTATACCTGTTTTAATGAAGTGTTCCTCCCTGACCTCCCAAACCCTGCTGTTGTACTAATGAAGTGTTCTCCTGACCTCCCAACCCTGCTGTTGTATACCAATGAAGTGTTCCTCCCTGACCTCCCAACCCCGCTGTTGTAAGTGTTGAAGTGGTTCCTCCCTGACCTCCCCTCCCAACCCTTCTGTTGTACCAATGAAGTGTTCCTCCCTGACCTCCCAACCCCTGCTGTTGTTGTACTGCTGTTGCTTAATGTTGTTCCTCCCCTCCCGTCCCCCTGTTATACCAACTGTGCTTTATTTGTATTGATAAAGTGTTCTTGTGATCCATGACACAAATGGTTTTGATGGAGTGTTTGCCTGCAAACCCCAGTATTGTTCTGATTGAGAGTGTTCCTTCCTGACCCTGGATGTTGTACCAAGAAAGTGCTGATGCCAACTGTAATGTTGTGGTACTGATGAAGTGTTCTTTTTTCTGATCAGGAAGTTCCAGCAGCAGTTTGACACGGATGGCAGTGGTGTTGCCGAAGTGTCAACCATGATGGATGCCCTGTCCACCTTCTCTTCCGGCAACGTCATGGGAGAGTTAGGGAAGAACATCCGGATGCTCCAAGCCTGCTCTCTCACAGCAGGTTAGACATGTAGATACACAGATTGATTCAAACTGCTTCTTTTCTACTTGACTCTGTTTTATACTTGTATATTATATTTTATTTCATTTGACTAGACTAACTACCATCCGAAGAAGAAAATCTGAAATGATAAACAAAAGTGTAGGTGCATGATTAAACTCAGCACATATACATTGTTTTGATGGTCTGCATGTCTCCCCATCAAACTGATTCAGATGGACATTTTGAACTCATAGCAAGCCCAGTATGTATATTTGTCAAGTTTTTTTGTGGAAAATAATGTTCAGATATTTGAAGTAAGAGAAAGATACATGTTCATTTCTCTGATGTAGTATCTTGTGATAGTTATCACCTGAAGAAAGTTAGCAGAGTGTGATGGCTTCAGTGTTTCCTTCTCTGTCCCTGTAATCATGGTGACATCTGTCTGTGTGCAGGCTTTGTGGATGTGTATGCAGGAGACAAGAACCCCATGAGTCAGCCATGGATGAGAAAATCCTCAAGGTATGCACATACACACTATATGTACAGGCTTGAAAACTAACTGTTAATAGTTGAAGATTTTGCATGGTTAGGGAACAGCGGTTGACACTAGCACTTATCCCATTTTAGTTTTTGTTAAAGGATTAGTGAAATTCATTAATAGCTTGTTATTTTTGACCAACAAAGTAATGTGTAAGTTTGTAATCTAACTTCTGTCAGTGGTAGATGACTCTCAACTCTAAGCAAACCCAGCAGCCTAAACAACCCTGTGTGGTACACTGGTTATTCTTGAATGGTTTTTCACTCTACTTTAATTACATGATCAAGTTTCTGTAACACAGGAAGGGATCAAATGGACAAATTGTACACTCTGTCCTGATAGTTGAAAAGTTTAACACAACCAAACTCCAAACAAAGCCGAATTGCAGACTAATGCAATCTCTGAACATGCTGAAGTTAACCAGCTGTAACTTGTCTCTTATTACTGCCATTTTCGGCTAAATATGGAGCTTTTAGAATTAGGATGAAATAATACCAGTTTAAACCAATTTTAGGTCAGCACCATTGTGTCTTGAGGTTAACCATGGCCAGTCGATGTTTTATGTGAGGTGCCCTTTGGAGCACGGTCCAGTAGTGGACAGTGTCAAACACTGGTTTAGGCTGCTCATCATGCTGGTACAAGTA